GCTTGACAGAGACAACATTCAGAAAAGACTGCTGCGCATGGCAATGGTAGAAATCAGTAGCAATCTTGGTTGGGTAGTTTCAGTAAAGAGGTAAAAGTGGACAACAGGGAGTAAAGGCAGCAATTTCTGCTCACTCTGGGGTTTAACTAGAAAGGGAAAAGAAACTAAAAGAAGGAACAGAGAGGAAATGTTTGAAGGAGGCAGGGAGGCCAAGTTAAGCGGGGTTGAAATGTCTCCATGTTTGTAGGATGGAATTGTTTCCTTTAAGAGCACTACACCATTCAGTTTAATGTGAAAAAGAAATCAAACATATAGAGTAAAATTAGTCTACATGGTATAAATGCTACAGAGACAAAGAAGAGCTTTTTTCCCCTCCTGGTTCTGGGGCTTGAACTCAAGGTCTGGGCACTGTCTTTGAGCTTCTCTGTGCTCAAGGCTAGCACTCTACTATAGCACCACTTCCAGCTTTTTCTGTGTGCTGAGGAATCGAATCCAGGGCTTCATGCATGCTAGGCAAGCACTCTACTACTAAGCCACATGCCCAGCCAAAGGAGAACTTTTCTTGAATGATTTAAAAGATAACTGAGTGTCTAATCCTGGCTACTCAGGAGGCTGAGATCTGAGCAGGATCACGGTTCAAAGCCAGCCTGGGAAGGAAAGTCCATGAGACACTTATCCCCAATTAACTACCAAAAGAGCCTGAAGTGGAGTTGTGGCTCAAGTGGTAGAGTACTAGCCTTGAGAAAACAAAACAAAATAAAGCAAAATCAATGATATATTATTATGGTGCTGTCTAGTATGATAGTCACCACCATAGGTGACTCATTAAACTTTAATTAATTAAGGTAAACTAAGCTTTAAAATCCCATTTCTCTCTCCAACACCTTTCACACACACACACACACACACACACACACACACACACACACACACACACACACACACACACCACACTTACTTCTGGGTCAACAACACAATGGCAGCAGTTACTACATTGTTCACGTCAAAGAAAGAACATTTCCATCCTCTCAAAGAGTTCTTTTGGGAAGCACTGCAGTGTAGGCAGTGGTGGGGGGGGGGGGGGGTAGAGTAATAGAACCGACGAAGCTAAAGATCAGGTGGAGAGGCTGAAAGCAACGGCAAAACCTGGAGGAAAAGGAGGTTGTGGACAAAAAGTGAAATCAGATTTTTAGGCCCCTGACCCAAAGTCCAGGGGTGTCATGTAAAGTCTGGCTACTCAGTCCCTATGACAAAAAGACACAATAAAACGAAGAGAAAGGAGATTTGTTATATGACAGCCATAAGGACAGCGCTTTAGCATTGTCTTCAGCCATCTTTGCAGATATGGACAGGGGCCGTGAGTTAAGTAGGGAGAATTGGGGGTTAAGATATGTATAGTTAAAACAGACCTATGTCTGTTTTAGTTGACCATGAGCTCAGTGTTGACTGGAGTCCTGGCAGGTGGTCTGCAGCTTTTGGCTGCTTTCTGCTTTGGGGGCTAACTTGCCCTTTGTTACAAAATACTTATTGGTGAATCCTGTTCTTCCTGCAAGAGATCACAAGATGACTACAGGAAGGAAATGGCTCAGATCAAAGGGCACAGGGACAAAGTGCAGGGTCTGAATACCCAGCTTTTATCCTGTTTTTCTTTAATTCAGATACCCAGCAAAAGCATCTTTAGATTATCTCTTCCAATAGGAGTGTACTTGTGCCGAGATCTTAGGGCTTAGCTGTTCTTGGTAATAAGGTTCTGGATTATATTATGGCAGGCGGATGCTGAAATAGTGTGTGGACAAAAGTGTGACAAAGTCAAAGAACCTTGACACAAGGCTGTTGATGGACTCATCTGTGATGGAATCACCAGATTTATGGTAAGAATTGCTTAGAATTAAAGACTGCATCTATTGCCCAAATCTTCCTTGAGCAAGAGGGTAGTGGCTAAGAACAGACAGAGGATGACATCTTCCAACAAGGAAGATATTCCTCAAAGTCCTTATGAAGTGGGGAAAAGAGCAATGCTTGGAAATCAAGCAGTTTCTTTTGGAATAGTCAGATTTTGATTAAGGAGCTTTGAGAGGAATAATCATTGAAGAGGCTAAGGATATAAAAGATTTTTATTACAATATCATGAGGCTTCCAGAGAGCCTCATAATGCTATGGAGGAAGTTTAGTCAAAGAAGGAAACTTGCTGGGTACCGTTATTCATTGTAACATGGCCGGGAGGGGAGGCGGGGAGGCGGCGTGGGGAGGGAGAGAATCCTTAATTGTATGGCCTGAATTTGGGGTAATAGCCAAAGAAGACTGAATTCTAGGTGAGATCAGAGACTCTCACTATGAATTCTGTGTGGTATTGAGACAGAAAATTGTTGAAGAGTTCCTTGAACATGAAAATCTTGATTAGGGAGGTCCTTAGATACAAAATCCTGACTAGGGAAATGTCTTGCTGAATTCCTAAATGCTTTGGTCCTGACAGCATCGTGGCAATCAATTATAACGAAACCTAGTCCATTTCTCTCACTCAAGTTCTGGAGAAGAGTAAGATTCTCAATACTTCCCACCTATGGGGTCTCAAGGAGTCTAGTTGCTAGAGGACTTTTCTAGGTGCCATAATACTTGATCTTGAGTCAAAACTTCCCCATTTGGGAAGTAGGAGGTTAGCAGGCTGCCCCGTGCTAGCTCTGAGTGATATCTTGAAAACTCAGTTTGGTGAGCGACTATAGGGTATAAATTATGAAATACTTTCAGTTCCACTGAAATGGGCTTCAGAGTGATTTCCATGCCATGGGGAGAAGAGGTTTGGAGAGAGATGGATAAAAATAAATTTGTGGTGACATCTTTTCTGAACCACTTTGGAGACAGAAGCAGAGAAAAGTCTCTGGTAGCTTCTTGAACTGGAGCGCTTAGTAAACAAAGAAAGAAAGAAAAACCATGCATATTCTGAGTTAGGTCTCCTGTGGGGCCAGAAATTCTGCATTTCTGACCAGTCTTCAGATAATGCCAATGGCATTGGTCCTCTGATAATACTTTTCAGTTGGCAGGTGATGAGCAGGACAATTAGGTGGGTAAAAGAGGAAAATCCTATAGTCTTGGGAAGGAAGGTTTTCCAAGTCAGAGAAGTTGGATCAGTCCATGAGTGGAGAGACTGAGTGGAAAAGGAAAATGATACTGTCAGCCTCTGCAAAGAAAATTCTGTAAATCAAGAAAATATAAAAACTCATCATTCCTAAGACCACAAGGCATAATCAATAGCCAGGCAATATCATAACACTGACAGAAGTTTCAGCTGTGTGTTTGGTTTTACCATTAGGTCATCTGCCCTGGCATTACATAGCAAATTAGATAAAAACCAGAATGTATCATCTACCTTCCTTCCAAACAGCTTCATGAGCTTCTCCAGTAGGTGGCAGTCTTGCACTACTATTAAGAGCACAGCAACTTAATAGAAGGCCCAGGTGTACCTTGTTTGGTAATGAAAAAACATAGTCAATTCTCTTTCCTTCCCCTTTTCATTCTTCTGGAAATGCCTGTAGATTTTCCCCTCCTCTTTCCATCATAGACACATTGTATATTTCAAGTGCTTCAGAGTTCTAGTCAGGGTAATATAATATGCAGCAATTCAAACCTTTGCCATCAGAAACATCACTCAGCCGCCACCAGCCTCTTAATCATGTATTATTACTAGACTTGCCTGCCTACAGTTTAGCCAAGTGCATGTCACTATTATTTATCTATCACTTCCCTATTTGAATTGAAGCCCACTGATCCTATCAATTTAATTTCTTCTCCACCAACAACACTTCAAATTAAACACATTTCATCCTCCTCACCAACCACCCTATCCATCCTCCCTCCTTAATGTAACACCCTTTTGCTGAAGTCCTGAATAACAACACGCTATCAAAACCTACTCTTTCTCCCAGAGCACCATCTAACTTCATATTAACTAAGGAACAACATTCCTCTCTTACCCTCCACGTCTTATCACCCACTATTTAATGTCTTTGCTAAGTCTCAAGTAATTCTGTGATTCAGAAAGAGTCTACAAAAGTTGTGGGATCAAAGAGCTGAATGAGGCAAAATCCTCCTATAAATGGAAATATGATCTCAAGGGCCAAAATGTTTCTCAGGGCTTTCCTAAGAGGTTCCTTTAGGGTTGTAAAAAGTTTCCAGAAATGGTATATTCTGGAAGCAGCAACTTTGCCTGGGGTTTCCCCAGCCGGTCCTCATCCTTCCAACCACAATTCACTCTAGCATCTCATTCATGCCCCTTACATGGTCTCTGACCACCACAATCCCCAGACAACCATGATATTTACCCAGTTCTCTTTCTGGTCGCTAAAAGAATTTAGCCAAGCCGCTGAAAATAGAGACTTTCATTAACAACGGAGTCATTTCCAAACCATTTTCTGTCTTTGGGAGAGCTAGCTCTGCTCTGGGACTCACAGCCATGGTCGTACTACTAGTGGGCGTGGTGTCTATAAACCGTACAATTTGAATTTCAAAGATGATATGTCATTAATTAATAAAGCATAATGAAATAGAGTGATTTGACATATCACCATTATCATCAATCTATCTCCAAAGCAGACCTAGGGATAAGGGCCCGGTGTGGGTGAAGGGAGGACTTTGAGGGATGGAGTAGCAGGATGGAACTTTTAACAATCATAACGATGAAATCTAACTGAGCTGGGTTTCCCTGTCCTGAGATTTTAGTTCACAGAACTATAGTACTAGAAAGACCCTGAACCACATGAGGAAACTGAGGCACTCATAAAGGTTGAAATTTGTGCAAGGCCACCTATTCGGTAAGCAGTGAAGCAAGAACAAAAGGCACAATATACAGATACCTAGCATGGATGCATACTTCTAGTCTTCATATCTCATTCTTCAGTGTCACCAATGGTAAGACAGGATCTGATCAGTGTATCAAGAGAAATAGATCTGGCTTATTCTTCCCACTTGTTTTTCCATCCTTCATCACTTCATTTCCTTCTTTTTAGATACTGCCTCCGTGAAGATCCAGGCTTATTTCAATGAGACGGCAGAACTACCATGCCAATTTGTAAACTCAAAAAACCTAAATCTTACTGAGCTGGTAGTATTTTGGCAGAACCAGGAAAGAATGGTTCTGTATGAGGAATATAAAGGGAAATACAAACCTGAATATGTGAATGTCAATTATATCGGCCGGACAAGCTTTGATCAGGACAACTGGATCCTGAGACTTCATGGAATTCAGATCAAGGACCAGGGTTTGTACCAATGTTTCATTCATCACATGAAGAATCCCGGAGGAATGGTCCGTGTCCACCAGAACAATTGTGAGCTGTCAGTGCTTGGTATGTGGTCAGTGATGTATGCAGACTCTTGGTTTTCTCAGATGAGACTGTGAATGAGGAGAGAAATCTGGAGGGTGGGAGGATCTGAAAGGTCTGGGAGAGAGGATACTGTGGAGAAAAGGAAGAAGACAGCCATTTCTGGGAAATCCTTTTGAAGGGAGTTCAGAGGCTGGAGTAAGGAACTGAAAGTCCTTTGTGCTTTTATTGTTGACATTTAAGAATCAGTAAGGATCTTTTTTTTTTTTTTTGTTCAGTCCTGGGGCTTGAACTCAGGGACTGGGCACTGTCTTTGAGCTTTTTGTTTGTGGTTAGCACTCCACCACTTTGAGCCCCAGTACTACTTCCATTTTTCTGGTGGTAAAATGGAGATAAGAGTCTCATGGACTTTACTTCCCCAAGCTGACTTCAAACCAGGATCCTCAATTCTCAACCTCCTAAGTAGCTAAAATTATTGGAGTAAACCACCAGTGCCTGGTTCAGTAAGAATATTCTTTGGAACAAAATAGAGATAGTAGAATAAAAATAATGTGATTGAATGAAAACCGAAGGTAATTTGGCTATTACTAAGTTTGAATGAGTCTATCAGCATTAAATGTCTTACATTCGTTTTTCTCCTTCGGTCAGGGTTTCTCACTAAATCTTGACTTGGAGCGCCTGGCAAGGATGACAGCTGACTGATTTGGGTTCTCCCTTTAACCTTCTATAGGCTATTTATGAGTCATTCACTGCACCAATCATGAGCTCAATAGACAGAAGGAAAATAATTCAGCAATTAGAACCTCCAAACTGACAAAGCAGCTGCTTTGCTCCACCAGGTCTTGGAAAACTTGAAAGTTAATACAAATGTTTACTATTTAAATGTAACATGTAATAAATATGAAGCATTTGTTTTAGTGCACAGTTCTATTCAATTTATAAATTGTGTACAGAGGCATTTAAGAGGCACTGCTTTCTATTCAATGTCTAGAATACGGAACATTGTGATTTCACTAAAATTTTCCTCATGATATCCCCCTATGCAGTCAAACTCTGAGCCCATAATCATTGCTTTGCTTGCTACATAGTTCTGTCTTTTTATCAATGCCACATAAAGAATGTACTTCTTGGGGAACTATGGTACTATGGCCAGATCAGGCCCCCTTGGAAAGGGGCTTCATTGTAATTGTCTGATGAGTTAATTTCAGCAGGAAAAAAATTATTCTTCAAAAGTAAATGTAAGCTGGGAGCCAATAGTTCATGTCTATAATACTGGCTACTCAGAAAGCCACATATGAGGATCACAGTTTGAAAAAAAGCCAGTCCAGGAAGAAAAGTTCATTCATGAGACTCTTACCTCCAATTATCCAGCAAAGAAAGAAAGAAAGAAAGAAAGAAAGAAAGAAAGAAAGAAAGAAAGAAAGAAAGAAAGAAAGAAAGAAAGAAAGAAAGAAAGAAAGAAAGAAAGAAAGAAAGAAAGAAAGAAGAAAGAAAGAAAGAAAGAAAGAGAGGAAGGAAGGCAGGAAGGCAGGAAGACGGGGAAAGAAGGAAGGTGGGAAAGAAGGGAGGCAGGAAAGAAGGAAGGCAGGAAGGAAAGGAGGGAGGGAGGGAGGGAGGAAGGAAGGAAGGAAGGAAGGAAAGAAGGAAGGAAAAATAAATGTAGGTTTATTATATAGTCCTTACTACTGACTGAGGCTTGAACTTTAGAAATCCTGGAGTTCCTAAGTATGCCTAGGAGGTAAGATATTTAGTGATTTCCTGTACTCTTATGTCTAAATTTAGAGTGACTTTTTAAAATCTCTATTTTTGCTTCCAGCTAACTTCAGCAAACCTGAAATAGTGCTGATTTCAAACATAACAAGATATTCTACCATAAATGTGACCTGCTCATCCAAGCAAGGCTATCCAAAACCTCTAAATATGTTTTTCCAGCTAGTAACTGAGAATTCAACTAGTGACCATCATGGTAACATGATGGTATCTAAAGATAATGTCACAGAACTGTACAACCTTTCCCTCAGTTTATCTGTCCCCTTTCCTGCTGGTGAAGTCAATGTGACCATCTTCTGTATCCTGAAAACTGAGTCAAGGGAACTTTCCTCCTCACTACTTTTATACAGAGGTAAGACTGCTTCCCAAAATTACTTATTTCACCATGCATTAGACACAAACACACACATACATACTACACACACACACACACACACTTTGCCTACATGTTCACCTATAGGAGTACAGAAGCAATTTAAACATGATTGGTTAAAGGGGTAAAAAAAAGGTGCATGATATCTTCTTTGTTCAGGATTTTCTGATAGAATTAGTACCCCACAATGAGCCCACATGGAAAAACTGAATTTTAAAAAGATCAAATTCCAATCTAAAATTAGATTCCATGGAAACATATAACTACCTTGAAAACAAACTGTTCATTGGTTTTATGGGCATTTAGAGACAGGTAAGATTTTTGGGCATCAGAGAAGGCTTCCTAAATTCCTTGGGATTATGTACTAGCATAACGGAGATTATTTGTTTTAATATGTGTGGTGAGGAGAGAGGAAGGAATTCTTCATTGAAGACCCTCGAATTTTAGTGACCTCCTGCACAGAAAATTCAGAAACAGAATCTGTGTTCAGCAGATGAAGGACTACAATAGATCATCCTCATCTAATAGGAGAGTAAGAAGTGTGTCAAAGAAAGATTCAGAGGCAGAGTTAGAAGGGATTGTAGCATGTTGTACTTGTGCCACAGGAGCCATTCCCACTAGAGGAAGAGTCTGTAACCAAGCAGTACCCATTTATAGGAGCTGGGGTTTTAAAGTCCCATCTTTGCTCCCAAGGAAACACTTCTATTTGAAACTCTGGTTTTGAGGAACAGTAATTATGAAGTTCTGTACCCACACAATTCACATTGCTGCTTGTTCTGCTCCTGATCTCTCCTCTCACCTATCTACTTTCACTCACTGAGGTCCCTTCTCCTCTGGGTCCTTGGTTTACTCCTTCCCATGGCATGCATCTGACCCCTTGCTCAACTTCTCTGGCTTTGCCACCTCCTTGCTCTTGGTGTCTTATTCAGACATTAAGTTGCCCTATAATCTGAGGAACAGCCCTAGAGCTTAGTGTCCATGAGCCAGATTCATAACTTGGTTCATTCCTTCTCCTAGTAATGATTAGAAGGAATTCTATTTAGACACTTCAGCCTCTGACTGTCTTGTAAAGAATGAGGCCACTTACCTATCCTGGTTGCTATTACTGAAGCATCTTTTAGGATAATAGGAGCCTGTCTAACCCATGCACATCTAGTCCAGCACATCATGCCTGCTTCACCATACATGATATGAGCTGAGCTCCCCCTTGGCTTCTGCAGTCTACAAATAAGCACTATATCCACCTCATGGCTCATTTTTTTCTTCCCAAACCTCTGTAGGTACCACCATATTCAGAAATGATTCAGCTCTAGCCAGAATTAGGAAGATGGGGCTTGCCTTTCAGTACTTCCATTCTGTGGCTTGATCAGGCTAGAGGTTAAGCTGTGGAGACTTGGGTGTCCAAAAGCAGAAGTCTCTGCCGCATGTCAATGGCTTATAACTATAATCAACTGCTTTGGAGGCTGAGATCTGAGGGTCACAGTTCAGAGCCAGCCCAGGCAGGAAAGTCTGTGAGACTATCATCCACAATAAACTACTAAAAAAAAAAACCAAAAAAGCACGTGAAAGTGAAATTGTGGCTCAGGTGATAGAGCACTAGCCTTGAGCAGCACCCAGGCAATGAGTTCAAATCCTAAGACTGGCACACACATGAAAAGTATAAGTCTATATTAAAAGTATAATCCCTCCTTTTTGAGAATATCAAACAGGCGCAAATGAGACCAACTAGGACATATTCAAAAGGTATCAAATATGGCCTATATTGCCATATTTTTCCTTACTGTCCCATGCACATAAATTAGTTAATGTCAGATTAGCGGATCCCATTCTTTCCTGTTACTTGGGAGTATCTACAAGAACTGTAGATACTCCAAAAAATCTATAATGTGAACTCACCCAGTTTTCTACCACAAAGACTGTTTGTCAACTGCCCAGAGGTGTAGAAGTTTCTGTGCCAGGAAGTTAAGTCCTGATCTTAGGGAGCTGATTTTGACCCTTCAAGGGGGGATATAGAAATATCTTCAAGGGGGGATACAGAAATATCAGGCATTTTCAAGTAGTTGAAAGCCAAGTTGAGGAATCCTACTGGATCTCAATGGAAAAAAGAATGACCCAAGAAACAAGAAATGGGAGTGGAAAAAGTTTGTTCCATTTGTCCACGTGACAGTTGTCTAGAATCTGCCATAGTAGTGGATGGAGGAAATGGTAGGGCCTGAGGACTGAGTCTCAATAAGGCTTAGGAAACAGAGCATTGGCCCAACAACTTTTTCTTCAGAAGATTTGCCCAAATACTTTACCCAAATTCCAGCATCCTGGGCCTGGTTAACTCTCTCCTTCCAGATCTTGGTTTGTGTCATTGCCACCTTGGGAAAGGGAAGGGAGGCCAGTGAAGGAATTTGGTCAGAGGTATCAGCTTGCTTCTTAGACTATAATCCTTAGTTATATAAGGACTCTGAAGTAGGACTGTCTTCCTATTGTGAATTTCAAACTTCCCTGGCTCAAGAGTCCTAAGGAGATGCTGGTGATTATAAATAAAGAGAACAGCAGCAAATGTAAACCTTTGATAAATGAGTTTCTAGCTGATTGAAAATTTGTGGTCATTTCTAGATCCCATGGACCCCTTGCCCGACACACACCAAGTTACCTGGATAGCCATCGCAATTATCTGCAGCATAACCCTTGGATGTGGGATAGGGGTCTATCTAAAACGATGCAGGAACAAGAAACAGCAGCAGTTTGTCATCGCCTACAAAGGTGATAAGTGAGTCTTTGTCCTCTCTACAGATTACATTACTTTGCAGCTCCTTCCTGACCAACTGCTTTCTGTTGCTTATGGGCTGAGTCTAGACTGGCAAAAGGTCAGCAAGTTGTTGAGGGGAAAGTTTTTCTTCACTTCAGAGGTTGTACTGGTTATATTGATGATAATACTGTGAACTCCTAAGAAAGGCAGCATTTTTAAAATTTTCATTTTCATTTTATTTTTTTGTTGGTCATCGGGCTTGAACCCTGAGCCTGGGCGCTGTCCCTGTGCGCCTCAACTCAAGGCAAGCACTCTACCGCTTGAGCCACAGCGCCACTTCTGGTTTTCTAATGGTTTATTGGAGATAAGAGTCTCACGAACTTTCCTGCCCCGGCTGGCTTTGAACTTTGATCCTCAGATCTCAGCCTCCTGAGTAGCTAGGATTACAGACATGAGCTACCAGCCCAGCTAAAGGCAGCATTTTTTAACCTATGTTCTGCTAATGTATAACTCATTTGCAACCAAAGCTGATTATTCTTGGCTTTAACTTACCTCACTTCATGAGGTTAATGTGACAAATCAAGAAACTAAAATGGTGAGAACACTTCTAAATGTTGGAGATTATAGACCCAGTGATGTTGAAGAAGAGTTGTCTACTGTAGGAGCAAGACGTACCTCCTCATCTCTAAAGGCTTAGATTTCCCATCAAATAAGTTAGATGAATTGTTTTCCATTCACTTATAACAATAATATTAGTTTTTGGTGATTACTAAATGTATAGGTATATATTATATATACTGTATATATTATACATAATAAAAAAATACAGCAAAACTAAAAATCATCCTGCATTTCACTGGTAAGAAAAATATGATTTTGCAGACAACATCCTGATTTTTTCAAGATACAATGTATTACTATATTGCTCATAACTGGGACAATGTTGTAAGTGCTATGTTTTGTAAGTTGTATCATATATGAATTATTTCCTAAATTTTATGCTAAATGTAACAAGACAGTTGTCAATGTCATAAGTATTCTACAATATTATTTTAAAGGGCTATGTGATATTCTATTTTTGTGGATACATGCAAATTTACTTAACAAATCCCATCTGTTAGATAAAAGGATTGCCAGTGATTTGTTATTTTAAATGATGCTTCATTGAGCAACCTCTCCATGGACTTCTGTTATTAAAGTGTAATGAGAGCAAAATGGTCCCTGATTGTACAGTAATTCCATGCTTACTTGTACTTTGGGCTGGTGTGGATGCTAAGATAAGATTGAATTTCATCTCAGTAGTTGCCTCCAATGTAGTTAGTTTGGGTGGTACCAATAATTAAGATAACTTTACCTATGGTAGAATGCATTAGTGTTTCTGGAAATTGTCTTATGTATAACTTTAGTGGACTGACTTTAAGATTTGTAGAAAATAGGCAGATGACTTTACCAGTTATTATCAAATTTCAATAAAGCACATGTCAGAGACAGTCAAGCTGTCAAAATATGTAATTTTGTTGAGAATGTTCTTTTTTTAAAGTATACTATCCACAACACAAGTCAGATATACAGACATAACATACTTTTCCAGGCTTTGATTTTTGAAGATGAAAGTTTGGAACTTCTTTTTCGATTTTATTGTTATTTAGAATTCGACAACTATTCAGTGGCAACTTTCAGTTTGAGTATAAACTATTCCATAAATTTGTTTTCACATTGTAATAGTCAGCTTACAATTTAAAGAAAGAAGCAATGTTGGGGGGGGGGAGAGTAAGACTGTTTCTTTTTAGCATTTAGCACAAATTAATTATGCAAAGGGTTTCATTGTGGTATTTCTTTTTTTGGGGCGGGGGGGGGGGGGAGTCTGGTCGTGGGGCCTGAACTCTGGGCTTGGGCGCTGACCCTCAGCTCTTCAGCTCAAGGCTAGCGCTCTACCACTTGAGCCACAGCACCACTTCTGGCTTTTTTCTTTTTGCTTATGTGGTGCTGAGGAATCAAACCCAGGGCCTCATGCATGCAAGGCAAGCGCTCTACCACTGAGCCACCTTCCCAGCCCTCATTGTGGTATTTCTATAGATAAGATGTAATTTGATCATATTTGCTCTTTTCTTTATACTTTCTTAACTCTATCCTTCTTTTCTCATGGTTTTTTTCAATATATTTATTGAATTTCTGTTTGTTGTTTTGTCGGTCATGGGATCTGAAAGACTTTCTTTTTTTATTCATAGAATTTCTTCATGCTGTCTTCAGATATCTATATATAATGTGCTTTGATTATATTCTCCTCTCTCAACACCTTCTTTTCCCTCCCTCTTCCCACCAATTCTTCCCACCAATCAATCCCCATGAGACAACCAGAAAAATTTTGGAGATTAGATAAAAGAGTTTAAAAGGCTGTGTTGGAAATCAAAGAAAGGCTGGACAAATGAGACTGCATTAAACTGCAGAACTGCATTAAACTGACAAAGAACATAGCTAGCAAGATACATAGAAAGCCCATAGACTGGGAGAAGATCTTCACTAGCCATACAACAGACAAGGGCATCATATTTAACTTTTACCTACAGCTCAAGAAATTAAATTCCCCCCAAACAAACTTACAAAGGAAAAACCACCCCCCTAACAAGTGAGCTAAAGACTTAAAGAGTTCTCTGAAGAGAAAATACAAATAGCCAAAAGATACATGAAGGAATGCTCAACATCTCTGGACATAAAAGAAATGCAAATCAAAACAACTTTGAGATTCCACCTTACCCCAGTAAGAATGGTTATTATCAAGAAATCTAATAACAGATTCTGGAGGGAATATAGACAAAGGGGAACGCTACTACACTGTTGATGGAAGTGCAAACTTGTCCAACCACTCTGGAAAGCAGTTTGGAAGTTCCTCAAAAGACTAAACATAGAGATCCCCTATGATCCAGCAATACCACTCCTGGGCATTTACCCAAATGACCACAAACAAGGCCGTACTAAACCTACCAATACAACCATGTTCATTGCAGCATTATTTACCATAGCTAAGATATTGGACCAACCCAGATGCCTCTCAGTAGATGAATGGATCAAGATGTGGTATATATACACAATGGAATTCTATGCTTCCATCAGAAAGAATGACATCGCCCCATTCATAAGGAAATGGGAAGACTTAGAAAAAAAAACATATTAAGTAAAGTAAGCCAGACCCAAAGAAACATAGATACCATGTTTTCCCTCTTTTGTAATAACTAGTAGATGTCTAAGATATCCCTGGCAGAGGATCACAATAGCTCAAAGGCTATGTACATATGATCATATAAGATGGAATGAACTCCAAGGTATGGAAACAAGAAAATTTTCTTTATTGCTGTGGTTTTTAGTGTATTGTGTGAAGTTATTTCTTTTTTCTTTAGTTTTCCCCCCTATAGTTTGTTCTCTGTTGTTACTGTATTTGATTTTGGTACACTTAGTATTGTATATATGTTTATCTGAATTAGGGAAGGGGAACAACAAACTGGTGAGACAAAGGACAAAGAGTGAACCAATGCAACAGTGATACTCACAAGACAATATTTTGGAAATGAGCTATACATCTTGGGAGGGGGAAGAGGGAGAAAAGTGAGGGAAGGAGTAACGAGTTTTGACAAGAGATGTATTCACTACCTTACGTATGTAACTGTAACCCCTCTGTAGATAACCTTGAGAATAATTTTTTTTTTAATTTTTATTTATTTTTTATAGTGAAAATACTGTACAGAGGGGTTACAATTACATGGGCAAGATAATGAGTACATTTCTTATCAAGCATTGTAGCCTCCTCCTTTGTTTCCCCTTCCCATCCCTTCCCAGCCTCCCCCCTCCAAACCTCCCCCCCCACACACACACCAAAGTGTAAAGTTCATTTTCGACATGACAACTTGTACCTCTCATTGTTGCAACGGGTCCACCTGTATCCTTATTTAAACGACTTGTTTTTCACCTTCCCCTCCACAAATTATACCGACATCAAATACAGTGAAAGCAGGGGTTATACTGTGGGGGAGGGACATACAAAGTAACAAAGAAATAATCTTATAAATGTGTTAGAAACAAATGCATGAAAGAAAAAAAATTAAATACATATCTTAGTGTTCATTTTCCTAACATCACCTTATCTGACCTTTTCTGCTTGACTCATACATATACTAGATATTGCAAATAAGGGAAACCATGGGACCTATGTTTCTTTGGGCTTGGCTTACTTCACTTAATATAATTTTTTTCCAAGTCTTTCCATTTCCTAACAAATGGGGCAATGTCATTCTTTCTGATGGAGGCATAGAATTCCATTGTGCATGTATACCACATTTTCTAGATCCATTCATCTACTGAGGGGCATCTGGGTTGGATCCATATCTTAGCTATAGTAAGTAATGCTGCAATAAGCATAGTTGTGCTGGTAGCTTTAATGTGGTCTTGTTTGTAAACATTTGGGTAAATGCCCAAAAATGGGATTGCTGGGTCATAGGAGAATAAAAAATTTTTAAAGATAGAAACAAACAAAAAATAAAAATAAAAGGATGTGTTGGAAGGGTAATGAAGAAGTTATGGGTGTGCATAGAAGAGGGCCATATCAAGGTACAAGTGGTGAAAGGTAGAAGACAAAAGAATAGTGCCTATTTGACTCACTCCTTTCTTGATGGCCAATAGAAGGAAGGACATGTATCACATATAATCAGACCATCCAGATAGTTTATAAGTTTGAATTCTGTAATATCAGCAGTAACTACCCTTGCCTCATGGATGCTTTTTATTGGATACATGATAAGAAGAATATTGCCTACTTCAATATCTCTGCCTCTTGTATCTTGGAATCTATAGTATATTATCTTATATGGAAAAAGAGACTGGATAGATGATTAAGATACTGCTTTGAGAAGAACTATGAATTACTGACTTTTGCTTAAATTATGCAGATGAGAACAAACTATTCCACCTGAGCCATAGAAGTTTTTCTCAGTGGGCTGGGAAGGTGGCTCAGTGGTAGAGCGCTTGCCTTGCATGCACGAGGCCCTGGGTTCGATTCCTCAGCACCACATAAGCAAATAGAGAAAAAAAGCCGGAAGTGGTGCTGTGGCTCGAGTGGTAGAGTGCTAGCCTTGAGCTGAAGAGCTGAGGGACAGCGCCCAGGCCCAGAGTTCAGGCCCCACGACCGGACCCAAAAAAGAAGTTTTTCTCGTTGGGTTAGAGAACTTAGCTGGAAGAAAAGGGAACAATCACCCTGATGCTTCACAAAGGTCAATCCATCATTGCTGGCTCTGAGAAAGGCTGTAATTCAAGTCACTTGGATCATTTCTAGAGGCTGGAAATGGTCCTCAGTTGACATCCAGCCAGCTAAGAATCTAATGGTGATCATTTTGCCATTGATATGAAAGGATAATTTAATTATTCTGTTTTGGTCAATAGGAGATGAAATATTTCATTCATTTCTCAGAATTCAGTTTTACAATCACAAGGAACTGAACTCTTCCAAGACAGACATGAAAAAGTCATGATCCATCCACAGAGATATTATTTTCCAAAATGAAACTCTTCCCTAATCTGTTAATCCATTTCTTAGAAGAGACTAGTCTCAAACTAACTAACCTGGCATTAAAACTTCTGTCCATGGTTTGTTCATTAATTTTTTTCTATATCTCAACTACTTACCTGTTTAAATCATTTTAGTGAATAAAAAAGGAATGTCATGGTTAGGACAGCTAGTTCCTAGTCTCCCTATCTTCCTTTTTCCATTACTCTCTGTCAGTAAAAGAAGATAGGAGAAGTTATAACTCTGAATCATTCTTTTTCCAGTCAGAAGTTGCCCTACCAGTTTACCCATATGGACTTGTGTGACCAAACTTTGTCGATAATAATGCCTAGACAACCAACAGGTTGTTTTTTTTTTTAACCTAGGCTCCCTAGAAGAAACCTAAGAGTGATTTCTTAAAGACCACATGTCTTTTCCAAAATAGATCATTTTAAACAACATTTAAACAGAAACTTTCACAGAGTTTAAAAATGGAAAGTTGGCGATCTCATCATATTTGCCCTTCAAAATGCTAAAAGTTGTAATTAAATTCAAAAGTACAGTCTGCACTTTTATTGTCTGCTTTCATTTTTAAATAAGGGAATTTTTATGGTGCTGATTTTGCCATGAATAGGAAAGGATAATATTCCATGTTAGTCTGCAGACATTTAAGTACTATATTGAACTATAAGCACCATTATTTTTTTAATTGTCAAGATGCTTTCAGAGGGGTTACAGTTACATGAGTAAGGCAATGAGTACATTACTTGTCGATCATTGTTACCCTTTCCCTTCCTTGTTGTTGTCCCACTATCCCCTTCCCGTCCCCCTTCCTTCCCCAAGTTGTAAACTTCATTTCCAATATACTATCCTTTCTGTATCCTTGTTGCAATCGGTCATTCTGTGTCCTTGTTTCAGCGTTTTGTTATTCCCCTTCCCCCCCACCCCCCCCAGTTTAGACATATGTATATACAAGATGCAGGCTACCAAAATAAAGTACAGTGACAACAGGGGATATGCCACAGGAGAAAGAACATACAGAGAAAACAAAAAATAAAAGAAAATAAAATCACGTGGTGCATTTAAAACAATAACAATAAAGACAGACCTCTTGTGTCCATATCTTGGGGTTCATTTCACTTAGCATCATCTTATATGGTCATTCGTACATGGTTTTTGAGCTTTTCAGCTCATCTGTTAAGATTATCCCATATGTATACTAATTATTGCAAATAAGGGAAACCATGGGACCTAAATTTCTTTAGGACTGGGTAAACTTCATTTAATATGATTTTTTCAAAGTCTTTCCATTTCCCAATAAATGGGGCAGTGTTGTTCTTCCTGATGGAAGCATAGATTTCCATTGTGTGTGTGTGTGTGTGTGTGTGTGTGTGTGTGTGTGTGTGTATCACATTTTCTTGAGCCATTCATCTACTGAGGGGCATCTGGGTTGTTTCCATATCTTAGCAATGGTAAACAATGCTGCAATAAACATAGTTGTGCTGGTAGCTTTAATATATATGGCCTTGTTTGTGATCATTTGGGTAAATGGCCAAAAGTGGGGTTGCTGGGTCATAGGGGAGTTCTATGTTTAGCCTTTTGAGGAACCTCCATACTGCTTTCCAGAGTGGCTGAACAAGTTTACACTCCCACCAACAATGCAGTAGGGTTCCCTTTTGGCCACATTCCCTCCAGCATCTGTCATTATTAGATTTTTTTGATTATAGCCATTCTAGTAAGGTGGAATCTCAATGTTGTTTTGATTCACATTTCTTTTATGGCTAGAGAAGTTGAGCATTTCTTCATGTGTCTATTGGCCATTGTTATTTCCTCTTCAGAGAAGTCTCTCTTTAAGTCTTTAGCCCACTTATTAATGAGGTGGTTGTTTCTTTGAGGATTTGCTGTTGGGGGATTTAATTTTTTGAGTTCCAAGTATGTTTTAGATACGAGGCCCTTGTCTGTTGTATAGCTAGTAAAGATCTTCTCCCAGTCCGTGGGAGTCTATTGATCTTGCTAGCTATGTCCTTTGCCATGCAGAAGCTCTGCACCTTCATGCAATCCCATTTGTCCAACCTTTCTTTGATTTTTTTTTTGTGTTTCTGGATCTTTATTAAGAAAATTTCAAAAAAAAAGAAAAGAAAATTTCAGCCTGTGCCAAGGAGACCTAGAGTTTCTTCTATTCCTTCCTGTAATGTTTTCAGGGTGTCTGCTTTTACTTTGAAGTTTTTGATCCATTTAGAGTTGATTTTGGGGCAGGGTGAAATATAAGTATCTAATTTTAATTTTCTACAGGTGTTTAACCAATTTTTCCAGCACCATTTACTGAAGAGACTTTCTTCCATTCTATTTTTTTGGTTCCCTTATTGAAGATTAGGTGCTATAGGTCTGTGGGTGCATTTCTGGGTTTTCAGTTCTATTCCATTAGTCTTCAGGTGTGTTCTTGTGCCAGTACCAAGCTGTTTTGATTACTATGGCTTTGTAGTAGAGTTTGAAGTCTGGTATTGTTATTCCTCCAGCGCTGTTCTTTCTGCTAAAGATTTTTTTTTTTTGCTAGTTGGGGTCTTTTATGTTGCATGTGAATTTTGAGGTTGCTTCTATTTCATTGAAGAATAAAGTTGGGATATTGATGAGTGTTGCATTGAATTTGTAGATAGCCTTTGGCAGTATTGCCATTTTCATGATGTTAATCCTCCCTATTCAGGAGCATGGGAGGTTTTTCCACTTCCTTACTTCTGCTTTAATTTCCTTTTTCAAGTTTTTAAAGTTTTCATCATTATTTTTACCAGGAACCATTATTATTATTATTATTGTTGTTGTTGTTGTTGTTGTTGGCCATGGGGCTTGAATTCTGGGTCTGGTGTTATCCCTGTGCTCTTCAGCTCAAGGCAAGCGCTCTACCATTTGAACCACAGCACCACTTCAGGTTTTCTAGTGGTTAATTGGAGATAAGAGTCTCATGGACTTTCTTGCCCAGGCTGGCTTTGAACCATGATCCTCAGATCTCAGCCTCCTGAGAAGCTAGGATTACAGGTGTGAGCCATTGGTGCTCGACTGGAACCATTATTTTTAAGAGGAAGTTTGATAGTATTAGAATCTATCCAGATTTGTAAAGTGTCTGGAAGCTTAGTCGAATAAGAAATAACTATCTTAGTTCCTTTTGTGCAGTTACAACAGAATACCCAAGACTGAACTTTCTTGCAGTTCATAAATTTGTCCAGAGATATCCAAGTTAACAACCCTTAATGGGCAACTAGTACTAACTAACTAACTAACTAGCAGGACACTAGTACTAACACAACAGTCAGGTCAACTAAGAGGAATTGCATCAACAGCAAGTCTACATAGCTGGCAATGTAGGCTTTGGGAGGACTCTCTGGTTGGAGATTTTCCCACTTAGGCCAGTCCATGCAACAAGGTACAGTATTTGGTAGTACCATGTGGCCAATTCATTTAGGTATAAGACTCTTCTTCTACCTCTTAAATCTTGCTTTCAAAAAAAAATCAAAAGCCTTTCTGATCACTAAATGATTGCTAAAGTTAAATGTGTTACCCTTTCCAGTGTTATTTAAGTGAGGCTAAAGCTATAAAGTTTTTTAAAAGTTATTTCTAATATTAGAACCTAGACACAGTGAGCAAGAGAAGACTTTTACTTTCTAGGTGGAAGAAATTTCTTCCTTGTCCCCCTGAAATTGCATTAGTGTAGTAACCGTCTCTTATAAATGTAAGATCATAGCAATTTCTCTCTGAATCCTAAGACTTTGAAACCTATGACCCTTCAAATGTTATTCTTTTTATATTTATGAGGAGTACAATTTTTAGGATCTTTTTGGTCTCTTTCAGAAACCACCAAACCAGAGGGGGAAGACAATGAAGAGAAGGGGGAAAGGTAAGAATCTTGGCTGCAGTATTGTTGAAAGAGTTTTGATCCCAGAGTGTCTGTAATTTGGACCTGAGGTATGCTGAAACATCAGCAAAAATAAGCTAGTAGGGAGGGAGAGAGAGAGAGGAAGGGAGAAAAAGGAAGTTGAGGCTAGTTAGAATCTGGAAAATCTGACCTTTCTATAAATAACTGGCAAGGCAGCCAACGCACAATGCCCAGAGGACATTGCAAATCAAGCCATGGTCAGTAAAAATAGATCCATGAGGTCCTAACAGGTGGGCATAGCCTGTACCTATTCACCCTGGAAACCTGAGCACCTGGCAGAGTGCCTGAAATAATGGTCAGCCTGCATGTGTGGACTGCCTTTGCAACTACTGTGCTTTCTGCTTAGAAGGTTATTCTGCTATGCTGTCACATGTGGGTCTCCAGACTCTCTCTCTTCATTAGTGCAGATTATGCTTACCTATTTGTGACATTATCTTACTAAGTCTCATCGAGTAAACCAAACTGAACTCTAGGGAGGGTTGAGACCACATTAGTTAAGATTACCATTGAGCTATCAGGAACTAGTTCAACGCCTGACATGCAGTAGGTTTCAGCAATATTTACTGAAAGGATGAATGTGTGCATGAAAGAATATGTGAGAGTCCCCAGTGATCAATACTTTCACCAAATGATGCAGTCAAATTGTCTGGACCACCATCCCTTCTGGGTGCTCAAGAATATCCTGGACCTGACTGCATGGCCACAGGAATCAAAGTAACCCTCAGTCAAAAAATCTGGTTGTAGAAACAGAGTGATGACGCCAAGATCCAGAGAGCCCAGAGTGCCAGTATTTATCTAGAAATACAAGGTGACATTTGCCAGTGTGGTTCCAGCAGTAAGACTGTCCCAGTGATCCTGGGAATCAGGCTTGCAAAGGTCCTGCCTGCCCTGCCAGAGTTGGTTCAGAAATGGTTTGGAAGAGTTGACAAAGGGAAGGCAGCAGGAAGGCGACAGGGAATCTGCAGAGGGAAACAACAGTCACAGATAAAAATCAAGATGGTTGTTGAACCAATCTTAGATAACAGTATAGGCCAGGTTTTTCTTGCTTTCTCTACCCCTCTTTAATAATTAGCTTTTACTCATGGTTGTTAGTCACCTATATCCATACTATTATCAAAACCTAGAAAAAGAATTGCTTTTGCTATACAAAGTCTTTTTTTCTTCCATATGAATTTTTGGAGTGCTTTCTCAGTCTCATTGAAGAATGATGTTTGGAGTTTGATGGGTACTGCATTGAATTTGTAGGTTTCTTCGGACAGTATTGCCATTTTCATGATATTAATTCTTTCAGTCCATTCCATTTCCTTCTTCTTCAGTTTATTTCTTTACATAGTTGAAGTTTTCACTACAGAGGTCCTTTACATCTATGGTTAGGTTAATTCTCAAGTTTTTATTTTTTTTTTGAGGATATTGCAAATGGAGTTTTTTCCTGATTTTACTCTCAATCTTCTCATTGCTAGCATACAGAAAAGCTATTGATTTTTGTGGGTTGATTTTTTTCTCTGGTCCCCAGGCTTGAACTCTGGGCCTGGGCACTAACCCAGAGCTTCTTTTGCTCAAGCCAAGCTCTCTACCACTACACCACAGCACCACCACTTCCAGTTTTTTTTTTTTTTTAGTAGTTTATTGGAGATAAGAGTCTCATGGAGTTTTCTGTGTGGGCTGGTTTTGAACTGCTATCCTCAGATCTCAGCCTTCTGAGGAGCTGATTGTAAGTGCACAGATGCAGGTTGATTTTATACTCTGCTACTCTACCAAAGATTTGAATCAGCTCTAGTAGCTTATAGAAGGAGTCAGTAAGGTTCTTTAAGTACATGATCATGTCATCTGTAAAGAGGAATAGTTTTTCTTCTTCCTTTTCTATATAAATCCCCTTAAGTGTTTCTCCTGCCATATTACTCTTGCTAGGAATTCCAGCATTATATTGAAGAGACTGGACATCCTTGTCTCATTCTTGATTTTAGAGGGAATAGTTTTAATTTTTCACCATTAAGTATAATGTTGGCTGTTGGTTTGTCATGCACCACCATTATTATTGTGTTCCATTATTTCTAGCTTTTCCTTTAAAAATAAAAAAGAAATTAAAAAATTAAACATAGAACTACTCTATGCTCCAGCAATTCCACTCCTGGGCATTTACCCAAAAGATTTAACCCAGGCGCCGATGGCTCACACTTGTAATCCAAGCTACTCAGGAGGCTGAGATCTGAGGATTATAGTTCAAAGCCAGCCCGGGCAGGAAAGTCCGTGAGACTCTTATCTCCAATAAACCACTAGAAAGCTAGAAAGGCGCACTGTGGCTCCAGCGGTAGAGTGCTGGCCTTGAGCTGAAGAGCTCAGGGCCAGCACCCAAGCCCAGAGTTCAAGCCCCTTAACGGACCAAAAAAAAAATAAAAAGATTATAAACCAGAATACAGTAAAGCCACCAGCACAATCACCATGTTTATTGAAGCACTATTCATCATGCCAAGGTAGAATCCACCCAGATGTCCCTCAGTGGATGAATGAACCAAGAAAACATGGTCAATACACACAATGGAATTTTACTCACCCATTAGAAAAAAATGATACTGTACCATTTGTAAAGATATGGGAAGATCTGGAAAAATTATGTTAAGTGAGATAAGTCAGGCCCAAAGAGACAAAGGACCTATGTTTTCCTTTAAACATAAAAGCTAGATTTAGCTTATAAACTTATGAGTAAATACGCTGGGTGGTAAGCAAGTATATACAAATGGATTAATTGAGGTATTGTAGATTCAAGATTCAAATAGAGTAATACCTCAGAAAGACAAAATCAAAGTTGAGCAAAATAAAACACCAGGAAGCAGGTACTTGAAAGAGGTGGGGTATAGTCAAGGGGTAAGGATTAAACAAATGAAGAGAAGAGGGGTAGAATGTGGTCAAGAATCCAATGTATGTATATCCTACAAAATTAAGAAGAGTGATGGAAGGGGGCAGGTAGGGGAGGGATGGAGAGAACAATGAAAGACATGACATTGATCAAAATATATTGTGTTCATAAACAGCTTTGTTAAATGACAACCTCTTTGTACAACTACTTAAATATAATAATGAAAAGAAAAAGAAAGTAGCTCTACTATGAACTCTCACTCAACCTTTTCCCTACTTTTTTTTTTCAGAGAAAAAATCCATATACAGGAAAGCAAGGATGAAGAAACTCTGTGTGATATTCATAGTGCAAAAATACCTTCAAATGACCAAAGTGCTACACATTTGTAATTAAATGTCAGAATTTATATGTGTCCATTTTTTATACCCTTTCCCTTGCAAGTTTTTGGAACCTATTTTAAAAAAAATTCTTCCAGAAGGCAAGAGAATATAACCATTAGTAACAGTGGGACTCTGGAATTTCCTCTAGGTGAAATAGCTCCTCACCCCATTATGCCAGTTCTGTTCTCTATGTCAAGAGCAGATGTTAATTCTCCAACTGCTTCTTTTAATTCAGAGCACACTTATGGGCCAAGTTCACTGGAAGGGTTAGTTGCCCAAGAATAATATTTAGAACCAATCCTAAATAGGAAACCTGATCAGACTCTTTTCTTAATTTTACAAAATGTTTTTTTCAATAGGACTCCTAGTTCTTGGAATATTGGCTTTTATTATCCCTGAATTTGAAGGTATTGACTCATCTTATATACCCAAGACTGAACAACTACCTCTTCTATCATGGAAGTGATATATTTTATGACTTTATAGTGCTTACTTTAAAATATAAAGAAATGTATACTATAATAGTGTAAATACTGTATTCTAGAGAAAAGCTAACACCCTGTAAGGAACATGTCTCTCTGTCAGAATCAGAAAAGAATATCATGACACATTAGAGTGCAGGAAAACAGAACGCAGAAGAAACTCCATTCTGAGAGACCAGGATTGACCAAAGGAACTAGCCCTGGATCCTGGAGCCATTTCTATCTGAGTTGTTGCTAAGACTGAGAGGATCCACCCATCCAAATAGTGTTTAGTAAGCCTGGTGGAGAGGAAAGTATTATTTCTCCTGAATGCTAATTCTCTTCTTGAAACAAAAAGTAACTAAAAAGATGGTCTGAGAAAGATGTTCAAGAACTAAGATAGAGATCACTATATTCAAAAGAGAAAAAGAAATGAAAGGGCTTTTACCAACAGGTGTATAAGGACTGATTTGTCTGCTCAGTCCTTCAACAAATCTCAGGAGAAGCCAGATAGATGTTTTACCCAAATAGACTTAGATAGACAACACTTAGAAAAGTGGTTGGTGAGGAATTTTGGTGATACCTAAGTTACTGTGATGTTCATCTGGCTAACAGCAGAGTGGGTAAAATGAGATGGCATCATCTTGGCCATGGGAGGAAAAGAAGCCTTAGGATTCATTCAGCTCCTAGTTGAAGGAAGAGGGGAATTAGGAAGAGCAGGATACACATCACCCAGGGCCTGAAGATGTTTTAGGAAATATGATATGGTCCAGGATGGACTTCACAAACTGCAGGATGTTGATGTGCAAGGTAATTAATTATAGGAAAACTGGCACAAGAGAGGAGTAGCCTGATAGAGATGAATTAGGAAACCTGGCAGCATGATTAAGGGATGAAGCAGCCTCAGTTCAACCCTAAAGAGAACGTTGGGAGGCCTGAGAAATAAAAATTATTCATTATATTTTACATAAAGTGCCCTAGAGGGTTGTAGATTTTTGTGATAGTCACACTTATTTTTTAAAATAATATTATCACCTGTGCTCCCTGCCCCTACCTGCCTTTAGACTCTTGACACCTGGCTGGTACTAACATGTTTTATTCTCTGGTGGTGCTGGTTACTGAATCCAGGTTTTGTGTATTCTAGGCAACTGCTTATCATTGAGTTACATCTGAAGTTCTACCATGTTTTTGTACAGAATTCTCAATAAAACTTTATTACTTTTATTTTTTACATAGTTTCTGCTTCTATTTCAACAGTCCTACCCAAGTTTGATAGTCTGATCTACCTGGTCCTTGACTTGTCCATAGCATTCTGTCTCTCAAGTCCTCTTCTCTATTCTCTAAGAAATGGACGCTTATAGTGTGGAGATTCCTCAAAGAACTAACCATAGAAGTACCTTGTGATTCAGCAATACCACTCTTGGCATTTATCAAAAAAATTACAAATTAGGACACAGTAAACCACTTGTACAACCTTGTTCATTGCTGTTATTCACCATATCCAAGGTATGAACACAGTCCAGATGACCCAGACTAATGGATCAAGAAAATGTGGTATATATGCTCTCTAGAATTTCCTTCAGCCATTAGGAAAAATGAAATTACATTATTTGCAAAGAAATGAATGGACCTAGAAAAAAATATGTAAGTAATGACCATAGAGACAAAGAATGCATTCTCTCTTATGTGGAAGCTATATGTACTTTATAAATATATAAGTAAACACATGCAGCATTGTTTGCAGGTGTACATAAATATATTAACTAGATATGGTATATGCAGGGGAGAATTCAAATGCTGTAATTCCTAAGAAAAACTAAAGTCCAACAAAGTGAAAACTAGGAAGCTAGTATTAGAGAGGTGGAGGGGATATAGGGGACAGGGATAAAGTAGATGAATGAAGAGAGGAGTGGGGGGAAGAATGTATTCATAATATTCAATGCATATCCTATAAAGCTAGGAAAATTGAGAGAAGGGTTTGGGCAGGGAGAGGGAGAAACGGGAGAGAATGATGCAAGGAGAGATACCAATTAAGGTCTGTTGTACTTATAAACTGATTTGTTGAAAACTAACCCTTTTACCCAACTACTTAAGTATAATAAAAATATAATTTTTAAATGATAATGAAATATAACTTAAAAGGTAAATAACAAGCAAAAGGAAGCCTAGAAATATGGGAACTATGTGCTTATATGTTTATCTTAGTAAAGAGTCCTAAAAAGGTCAATAAAATAGATGTTTCTGGGGACAACTAGGGAAGTCAGAATAAGGAAGCATGCTTGCTTCTTTGTTTATAACCTTACATACTGTATAACTTTGAAATTATTTCCTTGTAGATACATCAAACAAAAACAACGTGAAATTTTTCCTGAAAATACCTTAATAATAAAATGAATGCATACATGCACATATAATTATATAGCGTTGTGAAAAGAGCTAGAAGACTGTGAGTGGAAAACACACACACACACAAATAGAACAAAACTAAAATACTGTGAGGACAACACTGGGTCTGGCTTCATCATCAATAGACCCCAGACACTGAAGACAATGCCTTGAAATGGTTGACTAAAGATCAAATAAAATATTAGCATACCTTTTGGTAAAAAAAAAAAACCCTGCTTTGTGTATTAAATATTCTAAACCTCCTATTTTCCAAGTCTAGGGGAAAGAATATTTAAAAAGGGGTCAAAAAAGGCAGCTGGTATAATAATACTAACTACCATTACCTCATCTTTACCAGTTTGTTCTAAACGTTTGAACTCAACGGCCTTGAGGGGTAGGTAATTTCACTCACATGGAAACCTAAGCACAGAGGTGTCAATGTATTTTACCCAATGCTGTTTTAAGTAGTAGGGCTCTTAAAAGTTTTGTGAAACACCCATCCTCCCTACACACACCCCACTTTATTTGCTTTCTTCTGTAGCTGTAGGAAAGACAGCATCCTTGTTTCAGTGAGTGATTACACCTTACCCTGCACTATACTACCTCAGCCTCCAGTTGGTGACTCCAGAGGAATTGTCACTGAATTGTCTGCAAGCTATCCCAGTGCTTAGTAAGGTCAAAGTGATGGATACTAAGGCACATGATAAGACCAGTAAAAATAAGACTTTGGTCAGAAGGAAAGTGAAATCTGTTTGCTGCCTCCAACTACTCTCCCGCCACCCATCCTGTTGTCATTCTTTTGCAATCTACCCTCCTTCCTCTGCCAATTTCTCCCACTCTTGTGTCTTCAGATTTGTTAACTCAGGCTTGAAAGCAAGGAGTCATCTCTGATACTTGCCCTCTGACCTTTCTCTCAGCACCCACTCCAACCCCCACCTTCCTGGTCACCAGACCAGGCAACTATTCCTCCAGTCTGTTCCTAGACACTTTGTGTCCATTCAGGCTCCTATTTGCATTTCAAGACCATAGTAATCACTACCTAACTGATCCCAGTCTCCTGCCTCCTACCTTGCATTCTACCCAAAACCCAAAAGAAACAAGGAGGTAATTAGAAAAAAAAGTTTCTCTCTCATTGCTTTTCCCTGGCCACACCACACTGATATTATGTATCTTTCAATAGATGTTTTTGTATTTGTGTGGTGTTGTTTTTGTTGTTGTTGTGTCCCCTTTATTCAGATAGATTTTGTTTTATTCTATACCGCACTCAAAGGAAGCCAGAAGATACTAGGATAATTAAGACACCAGTCTTTGGGACAACTCTTCATATTAGAAATAAACATTTCATCTTTTGTTTTCTAGTTTTACCCATGTGCTAGCATCATTGGGGATCTTAAGACAAAGTGTGTCCACTGATTCACTCCAGAAAGAATCTTGCACTCTCATTTGGTAGCTTTCTTAGACTAGGTCAAAAGAAAATTTAGTGGGGTGTTGGATTTTTGAAATTACCTTTCCCCTACTTTGCTACTTAATTAATCATTTGGGCTTGGTATAGAATTTTAGGTTAGAAATCATATTCATTGTCTAGAACTCCAAGTATTATTGTTGATAAATCCACAAATATTCTGGTGATTGATTTTTTATGATCTCTCCAATGCTCTGAAAGATGCTTATAAAACGTCTATATCCTCTGTTAATTAACATGCGAGTGGACTTTTCTGTTTGAAAAGTCACCTTCTTTCCTCCCTGAAATTGTCTTGAGTTACTTCAATTTGTCTTTTGTTCCATTTCTTAAAAATTTCCTCAACTTTATCTTCCAAGCTTCTCTTACAAATTATTTATTTATTCTGTCCTGTTTTATTTCTCAAGTTCTTTGTTATTATCTAAATGTTTCCTTTTGCAAGGAAACATTGAAATCATTCTTTAAGGGTATTAATAGTAGGGCTTTGCATTTATTTATATAGTTATTCATTTATTTATTGTACTGGAATTGACTGGGGCTTGAACTCAGAGCCTTCGCTCCAAGTGGGTACTCTATGACTTGATCCACTCTTCTATTTCTGGCTTTTAGCTGGTTAATTCAAGTTAAGAGTATCATGGATTTTCTGCTTATGATGGCTTTGACTCTCAACCCTCAAATCTCAGCCTTCTGAATTGCTAGGATTTCAGGTGTATATTCTTTATTGTTTCCTTCCTTTGATATATATAGTCTACATGGGGATGGGGGATTCCTTAGGTATCTGATATAACCCTCTGTTATCTGTTTATGATTAAGAGAAGGGTTAGTATATCCTGTTCCATTTGGGACTTGACAGGCCCTCAGCATGAATCTCTAGCTCCATTACTTGAATCTTGAAGGACCTTACCACTGCCGGCTTTCAGCATCAACAGTTTGACTCCAAATTGCTTACTAACCTTATTTTCCCTTCTCATTTTATTAGAAAACCATGACTCTACCAGATTTAATTGTAATCACCCCCCAGATATGGCACATATTACTTGATTATTTCCACATGCTATACTGTATCCTTGGACTGTTTCTTCCCCTTTTGTTTATTTTTATCTTGTCTGTTTTTAAAGCACAACTTAAATGCAAGTTCATACATCAGCCACATAACACACTACACCTCAGATTGCATAGGAAAGTGTTTTACGTTGTATACAGATTGAATCCTAAGCATCTTGGTCTAGATGTCTCATGCTCTACATTCTTCCTGGCTTCTAGGCACCCAACTACTGTCTGTCCTTGGTACATATGCTTGCCATACTGCTTTGACCAGCATATTCCTCTTGGGCTTCTCACTCTAAGTATGACTTAGGATCACTTCCCTCTAGAACTTGTCTCTGACCATCAGGAAAAATCATTCTGCCATGCATGTTAGTTCTTAGAATCCAATATTTTAGAGCATTCACACTAGACCAGCTCTTCCTAGCTAACAGTAAGCAGAATGACAAAATACATAGCCCTCACACAGAAAACACAACTATGCTAAATAAATATTCCTCTGTTTCAATAAACATCTTTATCAACTAAAATAAAACCTCTTATTTAGCCAAATGCCTAGCTACTCAGGAGGCTGAGATCTGAGGATTACATTTTGAAGCCAGCTTGGGCAGGAAAGTCCTCAAGACTTATCTCCAATTAAGCACCAAAAAAGCTGAAAGTGGAGTTTTGGTTCAAAAGTTGCAGAGCACTAGCTGTGAGCAAAAAAAGCTCAGGGGCAGCCCCCAAGCCCCCAGTTCAAGCCCCATGACCAGTGCACACGCATGCACGCGAACACACACACACACACACACACACACACACTTTTCATTTTATGACATCATATACTTTCAGAACTTAGGAGTCAGACAGTCTTTGGTCCTCCCAAAAGAAGAAGTTGAGTATGACAGGGTTCAGGAAGTAGGGTCTGCAAAAATGGAGAATGGAAAATATGTACTCAGTGTTGGGCATATACAAGGATGTGTGAAGTTTGGTGAAGATAAACTAGAAAAGACAAGGACAAGCACTCATTTACGTAACAATTTCTGAACATTGCTCTAGCTTAAGTTTGCCAGCATGTAACCAACATGCCTCATATGTAAACAGTTATCTCTGTATCTTCATGATACATTTTTAAGAAAATATTTTCCTGCAATTAGTACATTAATGAACATTACAAATAAAAGGCATGGGTCATAAGAGATCAGAGTCTGTAGGTTTTATATTTAATGATAAAGTATATGAAATTTCCTATGTCTCAATTTTTCTATTAATCTATACTTTAAATTTCAGTAATAAATACGTTTTCATTATTGGATTTTTCCAAAATGAGACAAACAGCTCCATATTTGTAGCTGCC